ATTATAGGTCCCTTGTACATCTCATTAAAAATATCAAACCCCCATTTAGATATCATAGAATAACATTGAAAGGTGTAATTCTATTATTTGCTTTCGATTAATAAAATGTCGAAAATCGCTGAAATATCATAGAAAAACACGAAAGATGATATTCACTTAAAGGTACTATCACTCAATGAATGATATATGTTATACGACATGACATCATGAAGTAAAATAGATATATGGAATCTACGTAAAACAATATGTTATTAGAATATCCTTACCATAATGGCGACACAATATAGGCACTGTCTGAAAAATGTCATTATATCAGCGATCCTGTCAGGAACACAACAGATGGACTGTGTTGCTACGCGGATCGTTATATACAAACCACGGTGCACAGCGACGTCATTGGTAAACAAAAGCATAATGTGTCACCTGTTTCATACGCACGATCCAACAAAGCATTCCATTGAAAACGTAAATCATTATCTTCAGCACAATTGATAATCAAGGGTTGTGCTAAACTGGCCTCCTTTCATCTTCTGTTAAAAATGCCATGAATTGGAGACACTGGCTGGTGGACATTCATTGCCATCAATGTGTTGAAAACTTGACGCTCTAGAGAGGAAATTAACTACTACATTTGTCATCACTAGAAACTTCGTCACAAAGAAATCACCTCTCATCTATACGTAATACTACTGACAATGTATTAACTGGATAAATCCTAACTGGAGAATGTATAATGATAAATGAAACATATGTTTGGTCAGTGCTCCGCTGTGACTCAGCATTTGCACGTAGTAGCCCACCAGTCATCATCAACACCTGTATTTATCGTAGATTAAAAATATCGAAGTTTCCAGGAACTTTTAATAAATATCTTATTATGGGAGCTCAATTTTTAGAACCAAAATCAACCGAAGGAAAACTTATTAGATACGTGCACTCTCTTAGTTTTCCTGCACCGCTTCAGAGTACCATTGTGATGTTTTATACCCCTATAACTTTTTTGTGACTTTACCATTGTCGTGTCTATGTTCAAACTTTAAGCGACATATAGCGTGGATGGACGGCCACTCCGTTGAATCCTCGGTGCATGTAACATTTGGAGGCAGCGAACTGGTCTGGTATGCTCTAGAGTGCTCTAAGACAATGATCCTGGATACTTTTTGGGGGCGAGGACCTCTAATGTTAAGACTGCACTGCTATAGCAACAAAAGGGACTGTTGTGAGGACGCTGATGTCAGGTTGATGAACCCTTGAGAGCTTTGGGAAGAATTTCATCAGCGAAAACGGTAATACGAAGATTCATGAACAGGCATGACATTTCAGCTGCATAGATCAGCAAGTGAAATGAAATAAAACTAAATCGTAGTAAAGGACAGCGGTATTACAATAGATCTACCTGATACATTGTCAACCGTGAATACCCGACGGGGATGTAACGGAAACAATCAGGCATCTATCATGTTTGAAATTCGTTATACTCGCTTCCTCTCTCCGTATTATGAAAGCGGAACTAGTTATAGCTGATCCTTCGAAACTAGCTTGGAGACATCATAAAAGAAAAGGGTCATAGCCCTCAACGGTCATCTGAATTAACAGATCACAGAATTTGCTGATGGTGGTCTCACAAATCTGATCAATTCAAATAGTTTCATGCACGCTCGATATCATTGCCACTCCCTAATAATGTTTCAGATCAAATTTGGGTGGAATCCGCCCAGAAATTAAGAACGAGAGCGTTTTGAAACAAGACGTTGCTTAACCTCCCTTTTTGACCACTGCCCCTAAGTCTATTATTCATAATATACCACAAAAAAGTAGACAGTTTATGCATGCCCGTGCAGATAGCTGTAACTATGCAAAACGAACCAGACTTGCTCGATAATAACAGAAACACACATTATCCAACATTTTGAAAGATGGAGTACTAGCTAATCATATTTTGTACTTCAATCATCCCGATTGCCCATCAAAAATGGGAATTAGCAAATCTGTAACTTATATTAAGTTCCTTACCTTCACAAAATTCACATCAGCAAAGTGCCATGTAAATCTAATCTTTCACATTTTTGTCATATTCGATTCTGAGTTTGGATTTACATTCTGTTGGCATGTTGGTATTGTCTTTATAGTTTCTATATATCTTATTATCCGATTCAATTAGGATCTGTGATAGATTTTGTCGCTTCGTTTACAACCATCACCAAACAAAGTCATTAACACTCTATACACATTATATAAACCCATTCATCAACGCAGCAGCTTCTCCTAGTATCGTCACTGTTCTGATCCTCATTTATTACCTTCAGCTTAATACACTTTATTTATCTCATAAATTTTATTTTTCTTGCAAGGCTCGTTAAAACAAAAACGCGTTGAAACAAATGAAAATTCCTTGAAGTCAAGTCAATGAGTTATTAAAACAGAAAGCTTAGCATGTGTACACCAATGCTTTATCAATGTCCTATAAAAAATGGCGTCGCCTGTGCTATTTTAAGATCTGAGGGAGATAATTTGTAAGATTCTATCTACCGAGACATTTCAACTTCTTATTTCAAAACTGCTAAGACAATGTCTATATATGGGTTTGTCTATTAGAGCTCCTTTTAGGCGGCATTAATGATACGCCATAGGTTATCACAATGTACAATCGTCAATTCTTTTGGTTTTGTTACAATTTCACGAAAATCTAGCTAACCAAACGCCTGTAATGCATTTCAACCAAAGGCATGTCTCATCCATAAGGGACACCGTAACTTAAACAAACTCAGAGGTTTTTCCATTCGTTAAACCAACACCTTACTTCAATATCTAATGTCATTATTCCCGGATCACAATTATAATGTACATCAAACAGAATTTTGATTTCATTTATATCTTCTTATCTGATTTGTCGTTAATTCAATCTGAACTGAATGATAATACCTTATATGTCAGGTGAAAATTATTCTTATGAATAGCCGAATCTGTCGAGAATATACACTCTTACTTAACGTGTTTGAAAAAAATAAAGAAAAAACCAACATTGCTACATAATCATAATTTTAACTCCAATTCCATAAACTAGGGCAAATATGAACAAAATTAGTTAAGTATTGGGTTATTTTTCCTAATTTCTGAATTTCCACAAGTTTGGATATTAGTGCCATGTAGGATGAGACATCTGTACGATAAAGTTGTGTGCATTAACATTAATGATGTCTTTCTATAATTCCATTGAAATGTACTGCTTTAATATCTATTAACAATCTTACACTGACATCTGTTAGTACATTTACTCCGTGTAAGATCATTCCTCATGCTTACTTGACGGACTTGTTCGTTCTCTTATCAAAAGAGTTTTTGTGCATTATGGGACATCTTTTGTGTAAGATATGACAAAAGATCAAGATGAAATAAGCCGAGGGTGTAATTTTTAAAGATCATCGAGAGAGACAACACTCTTTGTTTCCTCCAGAATGAGGACCATATAACAGAGTATCATAGTCGCTAGTCAAAATATGGTGGCCATTTTTCTGGTTGAGGAAGATGTTCGACATCGACGATAGGGAAAGTTATTGTAACGAAATACTTAAAGTGTCATCGAAATGTAAAGAGGAGAATATGGTAATGATAGTCTTTTTGACATATTCTGAGAAACTTTTGCTCCGCTACAAGCGAGTTTGTTGGTAACGTCAGAATGTGGATTAAGACGGTAACCATTACAGTATGTGATATTGTCTAGCCACGGACCAATCCGATCAATTAACAATGTCACAGCGAAATGAAATCATCACGCGCTACTGTTTCCTCCCTTTACTGGATAATTCTATAGCAAATGATATATAAATTCCTATCTCCGTTAGAAAGAAACGTATTGACAACTTCGGTTGCTGCATCTCCAAGACATCTGTTGTTTCAACGGTCTATTTAATTGAATTAGTACCTTAACCATTCTGAGATAAACATGACAAATATTGGGTGCAATAGGAATCAATAGAAACAACAATTTTGACGGCTAATCAACGCACAGAGACATCATAAACTTTTCCAAATGCCTAGACCTACATCCTGACTCGAATCTTTCAGCAACTAGACTGGAAAGTGGGCGGAGCTTCTACATCATCGATGGATGAAAAGGGCCTTTTTTATTGGCTTAGAACAAGTGAGTGACCGTTTCAAACGAATAAGTACAATTCTTAGATTTTGATGGATTTCGTTGCTATTGTGATGATTGCATCATTTTTAGCCTCAAATCATTCTAGAACGGGTATAATATATTTGTGTTTTTAAGCAAACATTCTATACCCTAAATAGTATTTTCCGATTTCAATAGGTTTTTATATGTATAAGTAGATATTCGTTTGATAATTTATCTGAGAGAACAGAAAACAATTCCATGAAAGCCTTTTTATCCTCCGATTGTCAAGGATTCTTGTCAGTATGTGCTAAGCCGAATCATCAGTAGACAAAACATCAACCGGTATTCAAAATTAGCACGTGAATTTACATGATAACCAAATTCAATATTACAAGATATATCAAACCACAAATTCCGTAATTACAAAATAGTTTATGTTGTTTATTTACATAATGATTTTGTAATCTTAATCGTTTCGACAGTTGCATATTTCCTCTCCAAACGGACAAGATATTTGTTATATCAAAAGAGGCCTTAAAGCATTTCACTCAATACATGGTCCCTTTCATGTTATACAGCATATCGAAAACTAGTATGCTTTCCGAGGATTGCTCACATCTTTTAAGACATCTTAAGACTGTAAATAAACGTCTATCACTTTATTTTGTCCGATACTGTGAAATTACATTTATTTCAGGTACATTTCCCATAGTGTATTATTGGTGGGATGATCAACGTGGAATCTACTATGAGGGCTGTTATGTCCGTTAAGAACATTATTCTTATATGATGAACTACATATATTTTTGTCAGTTTTTAAAAGTTAAACAACACTAACATTTAAACATGTAAAGTAGAAAGCAAAAGAGATTACCCCACAAAGAAAAATAAATACAAAGCCCACTCTTTCAACATGACAATCAACTAAAATGAAAAGAAGGAAATATAAAAAGATAAAAAGCTACGTTGAATCGACGCTCTAAAGTTAATCAAGTCACACACTATCACAGACAGCCAACATTAATAGAATCGGGTATTCATGCGACTAGATGTCGCCAATCGCCCAATTCTCGGATAACCTCTGTCATATTCCCAGTAGGTGTTTCGTTGGAAATGTTTTTCTTGGTTTTCATCAGAGTTCGGATGGAATCTCGAAGATGGTACATCACTTGGATAACCTCTAATATGTTCCCAATAGGTGTTTTGCCGGTAATAGTTTACCATGTCATCTTCGGAGACCGGATGCGAATATTTCTTACTGGTAACAAAAAATCAATACAAAGATATAGTTTTATTTGTAAGCATACGTACTATCCGGACCTTCTCAACATCCTTAGATACGATGTTTAAGCCTAATGCACATAACAAAACAGTCACTTGGTTAATACGTATACTATCAGCAAATGGGTGTGAAGACTCCAGGCCATTAATTACTTCTCTACCAATAGACAGAGATGAAATATTTTCTTAACATACATTGCATAAAATTTTATAATTTGGATAAAGGGCTTGAAATGGTTTATTATTAATATTGGACAAATAGTCTTTATTGTGAACAAAATAGTACTTTTATTACATAACTTCCTTTGTCGATATGAATATTCCCATTTCTTTCATTCTGAAGTCATACATTCATGAATGATATGCATGTGACGTCATCTTAGATGAAGATATGAAGTGAGAATATCATCAATAAATATTTTCTAATCAATAAGATAAAAAGATTCTTTCAAGACTGCTTGCAAAATGATAAAAAATGTGTGATAAATAGATTCATACATTCGTGTCCATTCTATAGCAGATACATGGAACTATTTTTGTTTTTATTTAACGCGTCAAAAGCCTCATATGCTGTGTAAGAGTGTAAGTTCATCTAATAATAATTTTCTCGTGTACTTTATATCGTTGACTTTCAAAAACTTACAATAACAAGCAAATAGTCGTAGAAGACAGGAAATTACGTCAACTAAACATATCTGAAGACGGCGCTAAGACTTTCAGAATGGATATTAAATCAGTTCGTCCGTTTAATAAATGGGACAAAACCCATAAGTGCATAGCTGAATTGAACCTATAGATAACCAACATGATCGAGATACCTACGTTTGTTTGAGACTCGCAATGGCCTTGGTCAAAAGCAACACTGCTATGACACCACATAATCCTCCAACGACAGCACCAGCTATTAATCCGCTGCTCACATAACCTACAAAGTACATGTATAAATAATATATCTTTTAATTGTCCAGAGAACAAAAACAAAGACCAACAACTCTCGTATTTACATTATATACTCTTAGAGCTACTTTAGGACGGTTATATTTTTTAATGGATTAAAATCGATTGAGAGAACAACATAACTACTGTTCATTATCAAAATAATGAGATAATGAAACAGTTCTGCTTTGCACATGATTATATGCTTAAATGGTATTCAAATAGAAAATCTGAAGATCCCGAAAACATTAGAAGATGGCGTTGGTAAATCGAATAAGCAGTTAGAAATATCGTAATAATAAATTGTCAAAAAGACACGATTCCTCTCGCTTTTTTAGAACGTGGTGTTATTGTACGATGGGGGTAAATATGAACTAAATCTGTTGATGCGGAACCGGGGATCAAGAGACATGACGTATAACTTGACACGATGACTCAAACAGTTAAAAAATAGAATACCATTTGTAACATGCGAATAAGCCTCGGTTGTAGATGGCGTTGTTGTTGACGTTGTAGACTGACAAGAACTCTGTATAAAAGTAAATGAGGTATGCTTATTTAGTAAATGTTTATGATTTGAGTTTTAGTGTTCAGTCATGCACATCTGTATACTAACATACCTTTGCAATCACGTTTATTAAGAATATTATCATATTTTTAAGAACTGTCATCAATATACTGATACTCCTAATATTTTATATTCTGTATTCTTGAAAATGTATCCTGATGTTTCTGCATCCCTTTTTCATCTTTCTTTTGTCTTGTCTCAACATAACAATAATGCTGTACTCACCTTTGTCTTGTTTCAACATTTAAATAATGCTGTACTCACTTTTGTCTTGTTTAACAATTACAATAATACTGTGCTCTCTTCTGTCTTGTTTCAACATAACAATAATGCTGTACTCACTTTTGTCTTGTTTAACAATTACAATAATGTGTACTCACTTTTGTCTTGTTTGAACAATTACAATAATGCTGTACTCACTTTTGTCTTGTTTCAACATAACAATAATGCTGTACTCACTTTTGTCTTGTTTGAACAATTACAATAATGTCTGTGCTCACTTTTGTCTTGTTTGAACATTTACAATAATGTGAACTCTCTTTTGTCTTGTTTTAACATAACAGTAATGTGTACTCACTTTTGTCTTGTTTCAACAATTACAATAATGCTGTACTCACTTTAGTATTTGGATGTATTCCCCGTGTTTTATAAGGGAATTAGTCACAAAAGCGTTGAATCATTTGATGTTTTAACTTGCCTTGATAATACACGAGATTGGATTTGTCCTACACGTATAGCATGTTGAGTCGTAAACTATTATCACTATGTTGTTACTGAACATAAAGCCGTCGTTTGAAACACTCAGGAAAAGACCATTCGGTCTGTCTGTACCGACAGATCGCCTCGCCCGGACAGACTGTGATAGAGAACAGAAACAACCTATTCCTCCAGACATAGGCACGGCTGGAAAGGTCACATTATTTGACGTCAGTTGATATGTGGACTCAACTACCTGTAATGACAAAAATATCAAGATCATACTGTCCTAATGCAAAAGAAGACTTCCATGGTTACGAACACATATGAAAATAAAAAAAATATGTTTACCAAAATATAAAAAACAATATAGTAGTCAATACTTTTTTGGAATAAGATACAGTAGGGCCGAAATAAATCAAATACATCACACAGCTGTTTCGTCTGTCTAGGATTCAAATATAAATCCCAGGTATGTGTCACAGTTTTACATTTGCTATGTCAAAACCGATATCTTGGATAACAGAATAGACTTACGACCAGAGACAATGGTCAAGACAATAATACAACAGCTTGATATAAAGTAGTGTATTAACTATTTCTAATCCAAATAATAATTATAACAAAAGGTTTATCTTTAACAACTGATGGCGTATTCCTTGTGAAATACAGTTTAAAGCATGACCAAATGTAAATTTAGATAATGAACAACTAGAATAATGTGAAAGAAAGGTTCCTCCTAGACCGAGGTTTCAATATGAAAAGTAGCATTGCATGGTAGTGACCTAATAAAAATAATTTTGTTCCAAATTAGGAATCTATTACACTATCCTTTTCTTGAGAAAACAATTAAAAATGTCTCAGCCAATCAGAGGACGCGATGGTCATTTGATTTCCTGATCTGCACGAGAAACAATAATATTCGTTTATGAAGCCATAAGGATCATTTAAACCCATTTAGAAGTAAATTGCACCAGCCATTCTCAAGCAGCAGTCAAATATGTTACGGACACCCGAAGGATCAGCTATACCAAGTTAGAAGTGACTCGCACACGCCGTTCTGGAGAAATTTCCATTTTCTTCAATATACTCTAAAGATCAATCAGTATGATTACGGAAATGAAAAAGAGTGGATAAACGGAGAATTAGACTGCCTCATACCTCCTGCTTTAACATCATTAATGACATTATTCCTTTCCTCCTCAAACATTTTGTTCAAAAGAGTATAAAGGAAGCTCTCGTGAAACAAAATTTGATGAAAAGAAAGAGTTACTGGACGTTACAGCCAGAGACGCAGTAGAAGGGTCATAATTCTGATAAGAATTATGTGCATGTTTCACGTGTCCCTATAGCATTCTATTTATATACTTAATGGAAGGGGCTTTACTCACAGAAAACATGCGCACAATTTCACTGATTGATGAATTTGTCAGTGATGTTTGTCAAAGGTTGGGAAAAATGTAGAACCTGTCAACAACAACTGCTGTTCAGATACAGACAACTCTATTCCAATACACCCCTATAACTCCGTTGTGGGAGTACAAGTATATTTACCGTGAACTGAATGGCCCTGCAAGTAACATTTTCACTGGCAAAATTTGACCCCGAGATATAGAAGGTCGTACAAGTGGATGAATCACTCTGACACAGTCCTGGGTTAGTTCTTGTCGACACAATGGGCGGAACTGATCTTCTGATGGAACAATCATCCCCCTCGAAGTCGTCAAAGCAGGTACAACTTCCTGGAAAGTGAAATAATGTCTCGAAACAATCATATTTTATCCTTTTTTTTGAACAATCAGGTTAGATTTCAAAAGCATAAAATAGTGGTTACTTCGATCAATATTAATTTTTGCTAAATTTCTTTTGGTATTTGTCCATAAATCTATTCCACGGTCATACATTCCTGGTCAAAACAAATAAGCCACTCACTTTGTTTTTTATTTCATAGAGATACATCAACAACAAAAGTGGTCGGCATTTGTCAACTGTTGTGCAATTCTTTTTGTCAATTTCTTCTTTTCCTTTCTTTATTTTGACAGCGCTGTGTTGGTCTGTTTAGCATTGATTCTAGCATTTGTATGTAGTATCTTTTTATGAATAATATAATTGGATATTTTTTACCATTTGCACATATTCCATTTCTCGAGCAATTCTTTCTACAATCTAAATCCAACATTTCGTCCAACATCGTTTTGCCGGGTGCTCCATCAGACGCTGACGTCTTGGTAAGATTTTCTAGTCTGATAGCCGTCAACCGACAACTTTGGGACAGCGTGTCAGATGTCGACTGCATAAACCTGTCGTCTCCTATGAGCTGGAATGTTATTTGCCACATGATTATATCTTTAGTACCACTTGTCTACACAAGACTTCAACCCAATTCTTTGTAACTTCATTAACACTATCATTAGGTGTAACAGATTGTTAATTTAATCTATAACATATTCAACAGTTGGCAAAAGACAATCGATCGACTATCAGTGTGTAATACTATTAGTATTACAAGTCAGTCTATATAAAGAACGTGTAGATCACTGATCAGCCTTAGAGAAAGGGCGCTAAAATAGTATATGTAAATGTGAAATCATGTGTTTTAGCTGATTTTATAATCAAAATTATAAATTTTGACATAATAATGATAACACCAAAACAAAAACAAACAACAAAGTGACAAACAATGTTTTAAGTGAGCAAACAGGGTTGTGTTAAAACAAATGTTATCGTCCATTTAGGATATTTCATTTTACTTCAACGAGGAACTCAAGCTAACCAACTGAAGGAAGTCAATGGCAATCAATCGCAATTACCTTGATGTCTTCAACACATGACTTTATCCCATCTGCTGTCTCGTTTTTCATACCATCTAGTATCTCACATTTCTCCAGAAACTTTTGATTCTGTAGAAATTGCCTGCAAGTTTCGGTCGCTGATGATTCATCCCATCCGTTCCTCCATGACATAGACTTGGAAAAAAACAAATATAGGAACCAAGATAGAACCTTTTGTTTACAGAAACTCTATGTCTTTTATTCAGAAATCACCTCCTACAAGTTTATATAAGTGTACAACATGTATATAACAACTATTGAAAAACTGCAAAGTTTTCAGAATGACAAACGATATTTCAATGTAACTTTAGGTAAAAGTTAAAATGCTTCAGTTCATTCCTATCTATGAATCCCGTGTTATTTCAAATGATAACCAAACCAGACATGGAGGAAGGACTTATGCGTATGAAAAACTGGATAGAAAGTAGTAAGTAGCCGAATCAAGCACTTTGTCTGGATATTTGAAAGGAAAATGAAGTTTGTATATGAATCATGTAGATAAATTGTATCATAAAACTCTCGTTCTTCTGAATATTTTTTTGTTTTTTTGTTTTTTGTTTTTGTTTTTGTTTTCATGTAATGACGAAAGGCTCAATGCTATTTAGTATGGCCTTATTTAAGCCACTGAATCTACAGCTACAAGCCACTGGAACTACAGCTACAAGACAGATTCGTCAACCACATTGAACCAATATGATTGATATGTTTACCTTGATAATATAAATATATATATATATAGAAGTTTACCATCGGTTCCGAGTCAACGTCATTATCAAGAACTATTGGAAACTTAGCAATTGCATTGCCGATATGCGATGCTCGTCTTTGTCTCAGTAGAAGTTCGGATGCTGACCGTTTCCGCCTTGCTGATCCTTCACAGGAATTAAAGAAGCTGGCTGACCCAGAACTCGAGCAAAGCGTTGTTGCGGTGTTGATGTTGCATTCATTTACAGCGGCAGAGTCGCCAGGAGTCGCACTGTCTCTGCATTTACAAAATCTTGTTACGCCTGTGTTATCATCTGGCAGGTTGACCTCACCAAATAATGACACATCACTTTCTCCAGAGACCCTGAAATATACAGTTCAACATATCACACAATATACTCACATCGTGTAAACATCTTTATTACTTTTATATCTTTATTCCTTGCTAAACTATAAACTGACATGGATAAGATACGAAATACTTTATATTCAGATTCCTTGCATTATGCGTTAACGTAAAAGCAAAACATCAAAAAGTTAATTGATATTGTTTTCAAGTCATACATGTTCCCTAGAAAACCTATTAAAACACCCCTCCATCTCCTCCTCCACCTCCCCCGAAGAAGAAAGTAGGCCAGGATAGGTAATAAGAGTGTGTTTGTAATTTCTCATTAACTTATTCCAACCTGAATGATAGTTTTAATTCGTATGAAATTTGGCACTATTTAGAATATACACATGTACTTGACTTTCTGTTGAAATGATTCTATGTTTTAAAATCATAGAAATGTAGGGCTATTCCACCTTCCCATCTAGATTTGACATTTCTTTCGACAAATATTGATTCTCCTCAATCGCCCTCTAGGTTTCATTCATCAAAGAATCACAGACAAGCCATCGGAGGAAGAAAATGCTGCATAGTACATTTTCACCCATTATTCATCTCTACTTTATCTTATTTTAAATATGTATCGCGATATGTTAAATTCTCCTGGTGTCTTTTGTACAACTATTAAGACACCAATAAACTTTCTCACTTCCAATCCTGCGCAAAAGTTCTGTCATCATTTGTTGTCCCGTTATCCCTAGTTCTGAAGTCATTGTCCTTATCCCCATCCAGGTAACCGCAGAGTCCTGACGATGTTTTCCAATCAGCAAGAGATGGTTTGATCGCAATTCCGTCGATTGTCGTTGTGCCGTTGTGGGTGTTGTAATAGAAAGATATCTGCGTTCCTGTTGGCAGAGTTACCTATGGATAATAATACCGACAAAATAACAATTATGTATGTGAACAGAAATCAGATGTTATAGTTGTATAGACATAGTGATTAAAGTCTTGGGATCAGTCTTTGAACAATTTTATACAATACCTTATATGAGCTACCACTACTTTCTACCGTCATGTGTGTGTCGTCACAAAAAGTCCCCTCGATATATCTGTTGGAATTCGTTTCGTTGTTGCTGGCAGTCCATCCGATTCGAGCATCGCAGAAGTTGGCAACAAAAAGTACGTTGTTTTTCCTTATAGCTATTCCGCAGTTACATGTGGCGCCGGTAACACCACTCACACAAGTCTGGTACATAACATGTACCTGAAAAATCAAAAAGATACAAAGCATTATGTGTTACCGTCATTTATCAGATATCGTCATACACATCAACATGTACCTGTAGACACAACCAGTGGTACAATATATACTGTGGTGATACCGTCAAACATCAACATGTTCGTGTAAAACATGTAAATGTAGACACATAAAGTGATACAATGCATACTGATACCGTAAGACACCTCAACCTGAAACACACACTGGTAACACACACACCTGACACACACACTGGTACAATGTATACTGTGGTGATACCGTAAAACACATCAATCTGAAACACACACTGGTACAATGTATACTGTGGTGATACCGTAAGACACATCAACCAGAAACACACACTGGTGCAATATATAATGTGATAACGTAAGACACATCAACCTGAAACACACACTGGTACAATGTATACTGTGGTGATACCGTAAGACACATCAACCTGAAACACACACTGGTACAATGTATACTGTGGTGATACCGTAAGACACAACAACCTGAAACACACACTGGTACAATGTATACTGTGGTGATACCGTAAGACACATCAATCTGAAACACACACTGGTACAATGTATACTGTGGTGATACCGTAAGACACATCAATCTGAAACACACACTGGTACAATGTATACTGTAGTGATACATGAAACACACACTGTACAATGTATACTGACAAGACATCAACCTGCAACAAACACTGGTACAATGTATTCTGTGGTGATACTGTAAGACACATCAACCTGAAACACACGCTGGTACAATGTGTACTGTAGTGAAACCGTAAACAACATCAATCTGAAACACACACTGGTACAATGTATACTGTGGTGATACCGTAAGACACATCAACCTGAAACACACACTGGTACAATGTATACTGTGGTGTACTGTAAGACACATCAACCTGAAACACACACACTGGTACAATGTATACTGTGGTGATACCGTAAGACACATCAACCTGAAACACACACTGGTACAATGTATACTGTAGTGATACTGTAAGACACATCAACCTGCAACAAACACTGGTACAATGTATTCTGTGGTGATACTGTAAGACACATCAACCTGAAACACATACTGGTACAATGTATACTGTAGTGATACCGTAAAACACATCAACCTGAAACACACACTGGTACAACGTGTACTGTAGTGATACCGTCAGACACGTCAACCTGAAACACACACTGGTACAATGTATACTGTGGTGATACCGTAAGACACATCAACCTGAAACACACACTGGTACAACGTGTACTGTAGTGATACCGTCAGACACGTCAACCTGAAACACACTCTGGTATAATATATACTGTGGTGATACCGTAAGACACATGAACCTGAAACACACACTGGTACAATGTATACTGTGGTGATACCGTAAGACACATCAACCTGAAACACACACTGGTACAATGTATACTGTGGTGATACCGTAAGACACGTGAATGTGTACTTGTCTACACCATTATGTTTTTTAAGGTAAACCCTTTTTTCGTATAATGCAAAAAAAGTCACTTTTATTTTCATTCATTTACAGGCATTCGCCATGAAAACGTTCTGTATGGCTAGGTAGACTGACCCATACTTCCACAGTTTGTTTATATTCATTTCCCTATGGTCAACACATGTTATTTAGCATTTATCGATTCAGGAAAAACCTCAAGTGAACGTCTTTCTCACTGCGTTTGTTTATCAACATTAATCGCATGTGTTTGAAGACTAATAACATGTGCTCTTATTACAAAATACCAAAATGAAAACAAAAAGAAATGATTTGGAAAAGAATTGTTTAGGACTAATTAGTATCATAATGAATATACTGTACCCAGTAGTGGTTCAATCTGTTATGGAATAATATAAATTCACCGAGTCGCTGATTCTCCCAGTTCCTGGAATAAAAGAAGTGTTCACTATGAATGGTATTCATATACTAAATAAAACGTTGTCAATTCATTGAAGTAAAATTGAATTCTATTATTAAGTCGATTCGAAAAGTGTTTTGCGACTTTTTTTTTTTGATGTCATGGTAATGCATACATATACTGTATATACATCAAAATCCTCTAATGTAATTATTTACACACACACACACACACACACACACACACACACACACACACACACACACACACACACTTTTATTGCCATGCATTCCGAACGATAACGAAAACAGACGGAAAGAAACGAAATAAGATGCGTATGAACGGAAATAATTTGTTCCACACGTATATTTCAAAGTTATTCAAGAACAGTTTTTATATCACTAACAATCCTATTTGTAGTAAAATAAATTTGTCACGATATGTGGACCTATTAACAATTATTCTCTTAAAAGGATCAATATTATACGTCTGTATATCTGACACAACAAGATATGAAAACATCGTACCTGCCATCAAATGTGCGTATGTGTGGGTCATTGTAGCTTTGGCAAATGCTGGAGGCAACGAGACTGTCAGAATCGACAACGCTTACCTGTTGGTAACGTGTATGACCATGTAAAACTTTTTGTATAATTTGTCAATTATAATACTGGATAGTTCATCACTGTTCACTACTAGCATTAGAATATTGCATAGAAATACATAAGACAAATGTAAAGACCAAGTGTTTGATTTGATTTTACTTGTAACTTGATGATTGTTTCTACGCTATGTATGACGGTTATTGAAAAACTTGAATGAAGTTTCCTTAGTAATTAAGTAAAATTCAAAATTATATCATTAGTTCAAAATGTATACATACAGAAGTGTTATGTGAAGAAGCGTTGTTCCAAGCATAAAGGTAAGGCACGGCTTCTGCTGTTAGACGTACGCTAACATTCCTATTCTCCACATTTACCAAGTTGTCTGAGGCCCCATATACATATATAATCTGTGCAGAGTCCCAACTAGTATGATTAAATACTAATCCGCACCCATTGTCTCCAAAAGATATTGGCTCGTTTGTGAGACTTCCGGCTGAACAAAGTGTACCAGAATTCTGTACACGTGTGTGAATCCTTAATGTCATTCGACACTGTGTTTCCTTGATAGTATTTATTCTAAAAGGTTTAAAACAAATAGAAAAGACAGTAGAAGATATTAGACATAAATCCAATGTTATTCAAAGTGATTTGACTTTCAGAAATGGTGACTGTCATTTGTTAGTACTGTATTGTATGTATATATGTATGAAACTGCACCTTCATGTCTATATCTACCAAACAATACATGATTTTGTTAGGGTCAAAGTGGCATTAAAACGCCAAAAAATTCTCGACAATACGAGAGATTTACTACTGAACTAATTTGATATGGCATTCCTACTAGCAATTAATGACACATGTGCTGGCCATTCACAGATAAGTTAATGTGCTATTATCATGCACTCAGAAAGTGATATTCTCCAGATTTTTATATCTCCTATTCATTGTCCATGTGCAGTATTTGAATGCATTTGCTGTTTTACATTAGTTACAAGACTTACAAGAGATAATATAACATTTTCCTGTAAGTGCCCTACCAAGTCTACTTGTGGTTAACGTCATACATACTGGCTTTCTGTTGCATCAGCAGGGTAGTAACAACCCAAGGGAATGGTTAGTCTCACTCGCATTTCAAAGGAGTCGCCTTCTGCAATCACGTATTCATCCATATCCGTCTATAATAAATAACATTATTGCTCTTTGACATTTTTTTTGTTTATGGTTATATTCTTGCCTTGTGCAATGACATGGAATGCCAGCTTTATCAGTCACATGACGAAGAGTTAATCTCTGAGTCACGTGACTGAATCTTACACCATATTACTCATAAGCCCCTCACTTTGCAAAGTAAGGGCTGAAGAAGGCATTCAGGTTGTTGCTGAAAGTTAACCGTGAGTGATTTTTTTAGTATACAACATTTTACCTCTATGACCTTCAAACTATGACCTTTTAAGTAAATTCTGATCGTATGAATAATTGGACTAGTATTACTTCACAGTGTGATAAGAAATTAATGATAGTAAGAACAGAGTAAATATTATCTTTCTGAAACTGATAACGAATAATGATCGAGTTTACAAATAAAAGAGAGGATGCTACCAATGTCAATAATATTTTACTTCAAAAATCCATCAAATTCATCAAAGAGTGTTTGAAGGAGAACACGATTCTTGAATTAAATGCAGCTTGAAATTTTAAATAAAAACAGAACAAGTCCTTGTTTATGATGCCACGTGACAGTATCATACGTCCTGCATAAAAAGAATTATGTTTCCATGATAACGGAGGACACTTTACTTTTTCATTCTTTCTCAAAAAACAAAAACATGTCAGCATAATCATAATCAAAACTCGGATATCATAAAATCAATGTTTTTATTTTCATGTTCTAAACTGAGAACAATGTATACAACAACGAAACCAACCGGCAAACTTTAATTTAAACAATTTAAACTGAAGCATGTACTTCCAGTTTAAGTGCACCAGAAAGCTTTATATATTATGGGGCCGTTTATGTTCAGAACATTTTGTGATCATTTCAGGAAAATTGAGAACTTGTAAAGGTGTCATTGAAAAACCAAAAGATTAGTATTTCAATTTTAGAAAATTTTGTTGGGATTCGACAGGGGTCGGTATTTCCTCAAAACAATAGTTTAACCAATGGTGTACATAGTCATAAGGTGTCAGTTTTGAATAAGTAGACTCTGCTGCAAGTTTTCATGTAAAATATGAATTTCAATATTGTTAGTTAGTAAAAGAAATTAACAATCTCGAGCTTGAAAAATGACATTTTTTTAACAAGTTCTTAGATGAAAAAAGTTTCTTGAAAGAAAAATATCAGAATATTTGGCTCATTATCTGAAGTGTATACAGTGAAAATTTCAGGGGGAAAATGAGAACCGGTAAAATTGCCATTTAAAGGCTCGAGCAAAGTTACTATATTTCAGGAAATTGCATGGTCATGAGATGATGATACCGTTTTAGAGATCTAAATTATCCTAGTTATATATTATCTCTACAACATTTTTCAATCCAAATCAAACTTTTGATTATCAATAGTGAACATTTATAAATAAATTAGTGAACTGGACATTACCAAGTCTGGAAAAAATGTCAATAACTGTTGATCAAAAGAGGAAATTTATAACCTGGTTATGTTATTACTTCTTACGTTGTGTGGGTGTATCTAATAATTCTTATGAGGTTTCAATGTACATATTTCACAAAGTCTTATTTTCGAATTCGCTGTAAATGAGTTGCATGGGTTTCTGCCTGTGCATGTACATGTTATGTCCTTAATAGCAAAGAATCGAGACAACATGAGCACACATTCCAGATGTTCTCTCGCCTACAAGACAGATACAATAATTATATTTCACAGGACAAACAGGATAATTCAGGTCAAACTGGATCCAAACATTATATTTGGTTTGAGACTTGTGACGTGGATATATCTGTCCACGAACAAGATCATCTGCATGTTGGTACACCCAGACTTCATAGTCACCCCATTCTGTTTGGTGCTCAGAAATGTAACCAAGCGACAGCTTGATATCACATGCCGCAACATGCAGTCTTCTCCAGGTATTCCAAATTCAACTGTGGAAATGGAATGTTGGATGCTTGCAGATTTGGGTATATTATCACAGTTGTCATTATAACTAAGACATATAGAACATTTTCGATGAGAAGTTACGGCATACTTCTAAAATGTTTGATAGTGTCTGTCTGTGAAAGTTTCAACATTATCTGCATTGTCACTGCTGATATTCTCGGACGTATATTCTGAAGATGGTGTTTCATCTTATTGCGAGTAGTCATTGTTTGTAACTGGTCTTGATCTCTTTGTTTTAGATACTTTGATTAACACTTTTCGCACATCTTACTATCGGTTTCCACTCTAAATGGACACTGATAACCCCTCTTATATGAGCAAAGATTTTAGCCAAATATTATGCTGTGAATTAATCCTTCAAGGCAATTTGTCACTGTCTTTGAATCTTGAATGGTAACTTGGAATGATGCACTTGTCGTTCATTTTGATGCAATTATTAAATTGCTTTGAAAGTAGAACTGTATGTATTGCATACTACAGGAATTAGATGAAATAAGTCCACTACACTGTTGATGCTCAGGCATGTCCTTTATACATGGTGACTACGCTGGCCTAACTGCTCTCAAACAACTACCTAATTTCAATGACATTTGTTAAATGATCGAAATCCTCATCTTAAAATGCAAGGTAATCTTTTGTAAACACCTTCCTTGCCAGAATACTGTCCATTAGATGATTATACTCTTATTCATTGCAATTTCTCTAAGTATATAATTATGCTCGAGTCTTTAAATTGCAATTTTATCAGTTTTCAATATTTCTATTTTATTTTCATCAAATGCTCTTGACATAATGGCCCCAATAATAGTGCACTCAAAATGGAAATACAAGCTTCAGTATTTGCAAAAAATTGTCTAAGCTGGAAAAAAACACGGCTTTTTCAATTTTGAAACTATATGATTTATAATTATTATTATTATTTTCCAATATTTTGTTAATTATTTACCACCATAGTGCCAAACTGATCCTTGCTAATCAAACAGTATGTCATTTGGTAATTTACGCTGTGGTTTACAGATGAAAAAGTGAACCTTGTCATATTCCTATGGTTACGACACTAAATGTGTCGTAGCACAGGCCCTATGGACCTTTTCAATTGTTTTATCCTATTTCATGGGTAGTCTCTCAAGGTGCTACAAATACCACCCACTTTTATTTGATTTGGTGAGTGGGCAATATTCCATTGTTTATAAAGGGGTTTTTGGACCAAAGAAATGTTGATGAGTAACAGCTTGAAAAATGGCAAGAAGTTCAGCAAGACTCTCCTGAAGGGTAATTGTCTTCAATTATACCAACAACTATCACGTCAATCAATAGAAAATCATATTTTAAAATAAAATTATTTCTCACCTGAATTCCTGCGTGAAACGACTGGCTTAACGTGACTGGCCCTGGATTAGCATTGACTGCGTACCGAAGTGCGATTCCACACTTTACCTGAAATATTTTTAAGTCAGTTATACAATATGTGTATTTTTCAATCAAAAACATACATATCAACAATACCATGTCCTCTATTCACAAAATGCAAGTGCATCCGAAATTCATTATCTCCATAATAGGCACAATAAACAAAATTCTCTCCTCTATCTCATTAAATGTGTACTACACTCCTCATTTTCTTAACGTGTCATTTAAATATGCCCTACAACATTAATTTTCTGTGTGTCTCACAGAATACGCTTTATAACTATTATTTCTGTGTGTTAAAGATCAATGTTTACCTGAAAACTTAAAGTGTGCAATCCTCGCCAGTGTTCTTCTTGTAGACTTCCTATTGTTGCTAATTCTGTATAAATGAGGTTGGTACTTGCGTTGTAAGGTACCATGGCGTCGTCTATATACCATGTCACGTCATATACAAATTGTCCGGGATCCAAACTTTTATCGAGAAACGCAACATTACACTGAAACCTTATTTGGAAAAGCTTGAAATCGCTGGAAGTGTCTGTATCTGGCAATTTTGCTAATTTTTCCTCTATCCCTGGAGTAACATTGATGGTCATTGATTCTGAAGCACAACAATAAGTTAGTGATAATACCACGTGACAAAGAACATCCGGCTTTAGCTTAAGATAAGAATATTTAAGTGTAGAAATGTAGGAATTGAATACTCAACAATGAAATTACATCCGTAAATGGACAAAATGAGCACGTTTTCATAACCATTAGCAAACATGGACGCATTTGAAAATTTGAAAAGCATGATATTTATACCTATATATGGTTCCCTTGTGGTCGTTGTTGGTTCAGTAGTGGTCGTTGTTGGTTCAGTAGTGGTCGTTGTTGGTTCTGTAGTGGTCGTCGTTGGTTCTGTAGTGGTCGTTGTTGGTTCTGTAGTGGTCGTCGTTGGTTCTGTAGTGGTCGTTGTTGGTTCTGTAGTGGTTGTTGGTTCTGTAGTGGTCGTCGTTGGTTCTGTAGTGGTCGTCGTTGGTTCTGTAGTGGTCGTTGTTGGTTCTGTAGTGGTTGTTGTTTCTGTAGTGGTCGTTGTTGGTTCAGTAGTGGTCGTTGTTGGTTGTGTAGTGGTCGTTGTTGGTTCTGTAGTGGTCGTCGTTGGTTCTGTAGTGGTCGTCGTTGGTTCTGTAGTGGTCGTTGTTGGTTCTGTAGTGGTCGTTGTTGGTTGTGTAGTGGTTGCTGGTTCTGTAGTGGTCGTTGTTGGTTCAGTAGTGGTCGTTGTTGGTTGTGTAGTGGACGTTGTTGGTTGTGTAGTGGTCGTTGATAGTTCTGTAGTGGTCGTTGTTGGTTGTGTAGTGGTCGTTGATAGTTCTGTAGTGGTCGTTGTTGGTTGTGTAGTGGTCGTTGATAGTTCTGTAGTGGTCGTTGTTGGTTGTGTAGTAGTCGTTATACAGGATGTCTGTGAAAAGAAAGTGCGATTAATTCCCATTAAAAATAACAGAAAGGAAATTCATAATTGTTCCCTTATCAATTTCAATCAGACAAAACTACATTAAAGGCTTTTACAGAAATATAAGTGAGTTACATGCTGAAATATATGTTTGTTTCCTAACAGCTTGTACCATCGTTACTCACGAAATTGAAGCAGGAGATAGTCGTTGTGTTACACTCTTGGCACCAGGAATCATAGATGATAACTACAATATCAGCACTGAATGAGGTTCCGTCGTTTGACACACTGATGAAAAAACCCTCAGCCATCGCAGAATCATCGTCTGTAGAACGCTTACTTTGCCTCAACGCGTCAGTAAGTGTGCACGTGCATCCAAATTCATCCTCTTGAGGATCGGCACGAAACGTGTCGTTCGCAAAAGTCATATTGTAGCCATCCGTTGTGATCTACAAACACAGAAATATATTAATGTAAAACAATTGCTGTCAATCCTACGGAATTTTGTTTGTTATGTATATTTTTCACTATAAATGGAGTATCTACGTCCTGTTAGGGATCATTTCAAGCATACCATACCACAAATAACAATACTCTTAATTTCCAATGTAGAACTATCTTGAACGACATCTAAACTGACCCCAAGCTACTTGAAGTTTGTCAATGCCTATTTTGATAAAGTTTACGAATCATTTCACTGCAGCATGATAATTGCTATCTCTAATAATGTCATACCATCTTCACGTAATGTGTGAGACGTCTCTGAAAATCGTCTCACATTTTGGACCTTATGGATGTCTCAATATTTGAAAATCATATATGATAATCATACCGTAAAATGGGCGGCCTTGCATGTTATATTTTCGCCTGCAAAGTTTGATCCGGAGATGTGGAATGTATTACAAGCATTTATGTCCCGTTTACACAATCCTGGGTTAGTCGATGGTGATACTGAAGGCGGCTGTGATCGTCTCACCGAACATTCGTAACCTTCAAAATCGCCAAAACAAGCACACTGACCTGTTAAATATAACAAGAAAATATCAACATTTCGCCATAATTCCGAGAGACAATGGACAATGTTCCGGAAGAAAAAGCGTCTTTTGCCATGTACAAATTATGTAATGTCACGTTCACAAATGACAACAAGGTAAACAACAACGGAACCAATATGAAAACTAACCATCATCAAACAGGTCCCACAAAGATACAGTTTTTCAAATGCGATCATTATACTGTGTTGTGAGTTGTTTGTTTGTCAGATGCTTCCATCCTACACAAACAAAAGGGTAAAACATTACAATGACCACGATTCAGTGACTCCCTCTCAAAAACAACAAAATTAAAACTTGTCGACAGCATCAAAAGTTAAACTCAACATTGGTAACAACAAATTAAATAAAGAAATATGGGATACTAGTATTCGTGAAACAGGTATACACTTCAAAACAATCAAAAGGATTGTTGAAAAAATACAATAGTCCCTTATAACGCAAATGTTAGTATAAAATTTAGTTTATGCAAACCTATCAAATTGAATCATACACAAGTTCGTCTGTGATCTGCCTGAAATTTGTAGTGATAGGATAAAATTTCGGGGTCTAGGATATCTACGTTTCTAATTCAGGAAACTGATTTTTATAGTATTGTCATCGGTATTTTGACTCCGAAACAACAACAAAAATCGATACGATCGATAAGATAGTAGAAAAATCTGGGAACCTGATTTTGTTCCCTCGAAAAACAAAAAAACATAGTGCTTGAGCCTGCAATAAAAGTTACAGGAAGAGAAGAAATTAGTATATTTGTGTGTATGGTATTGACCGTTTTGACATATTCCGTTCCCAGAGCAGTTATTCGGACAATCTAATTCCAACATTACATCCAGCAGTGTCTGGTTTGTTGAGCTGTCGCTTGATGATGTCTGAGTGAGATTTTCCAGCTTCAAAGCCGTCAGTCGACAACTTCTGGACAAAGAATTTACAGTTGACTGCATGAACTGAGTGTCTCCAGTAAGCTAAAACAATGATGAAATAAATGACATGTGAATTAATTATATTTAAATCATGTGATATTCATTGAAATATAAAGAGGCACACTTCTTGTTTTCACAACATATCAATATATTAAATCGATAATTTAACATAATCATTGTTGTTTGTTTTAAGATTAAATTTTACATATGGGTTAGATATGTATTCAAATGTGAAATTCAAGACTTCACTTTTTTAATGTTACCTATGCGCTTTAATTTGTAAATAAATTTGATCTTATGCTGTACACAAGGTATTCGAAGTATGTCAATGGGGGGTTTAGTAATGTTTGCTATACAAACCGAAGGGTTCTGACTGATTATATTTATGCATTAGTTGTTTTAAATGCATCCTCGATATTCTCGACTTACGCTCATTATCATTCTATGCACACCGTGAATGTTTCACGGCAAAACTGAAGGTGTCATGTACATCAAAGGAATCTCGAGGTCACATATGTTTTACTGGCTTTGAAATTTCATCTTCGAAGAAACGTATCGGTCTGTGGTTGTTCTCCTGAAATTTGCTCTGTCTAGTCACATAAATGTGCTTGTGACTTCAATTTTGCCAGGAAATGTTCCAGAGGTGTACGAGAGCGAAATGTATCGTAACCTCTGGGGTATCGAGGATGTAAATGTTGAAAAATAAGTAATACCACTCTACGGGATCTCTCTAGACTTGTCATTGAAAACCTACCGTTTCTACCTATCTCGCATGTTTAAGTTTTGGCAGGATTACAAGGACAACTCGAGAGTGATTTTGTATAGTGGTGGTCATGGTAATTATGCTGGAAAGTGTATATGTTAAGTAAACAGAAATAATTACCTTACAACAATGAATTTCTTTGACACATGTGCTAATTAGTAGAAAATTATTTGATCTTACCATCGATGTATGATTTATAATTATCGCTTTGTGGTAAACTATATAAAGCTTGGCCTGAATGCCAATCTATGCTAGGGTTGTTAAAATTCCGTTTTCTTCGTATAGGGAGGAATTCTGAATATTGATCGTGTTCAAGGAAATAAATCGCGCTTAAATTGTCAGAACCACAGCTTACGTGAGATGTGAGAGGTTGGGATGGTACTACTTCCACGAATGTTCATATAATTGTTAAAAAAAACATGTGATAAAGACTGTGATGTGATATAGTGTACCTTGATATCGTCGATGCAGGATTCAATACCATCCGCATTATCGTTGGCCGTTGCGTCTAATACCTCTTCGCACTTTTGCAAAAATGTCTGTTTTTGAATAAATGTTGTGCATGCCTCCTCCGCCAATGTAAAATTCCATCCATTCCTCCAAATTGCGGGCTTTGTAACAAAACGTATTTCAAAGTGATTAGCATTATGCTGGCATTGTCATATATATATATTGGAGCAGCTTAAAACAGATGAAAAATGTTAAAGGTTTCAAATTTTTACGAAAGACATATTTTAAGTGAATAACATCTTTTTAATACAAATTCAGATTTAGAAACAGTAGAGCTAAACACTGCACCAAACTACAGCTGTTTCGTCCTTCTAGGACTCGTCAGTGATGCTAACGGCCTATATTTTGAAACCTTAGAGGCAACTAAGAAATTCCAAACTAATCGACAGGAATGTCACTATCGAGCATGAGAGGTGCAGCAGCCCCAAGATTTAAAAAATGTCGTAATTTCCATATGTTTCTGAACCTCTTATCAACTCACACTGAAATACATATTATCGTATTTAACATGTATTTATTCAATCGCACAGTAAGTAATGAAAACAGACACTTTCAAGACACATACTTAGTGTAAACAGACACGTCATAAATATAAATCCAGTCTAGACGAAGACTCTTAGTAGACACATAATTACTATAGAGAGATACATTATACATATACTACATATCTATACTATAAGTGAAATAGACGCACTTGTGAGAACCAGACCTCACATTTCACTTCCCATTACATTGCACACAATGGGATGGGAGATCTGTTTAGGATTATTTGAATGTTTGCTGTGTTGATGAATTCGTTCATTCAACATCTTACCTCAGGTTCATCATTAGCATCAGGTGCGAAAACTATTTTGAACTTCGATGGCACATCTTGTGGCTCATCTAGAGCTCGGCGATACCTTTGGTGGGACGCTGAGCGCCTCCTTCTGGAAGATTCGTCACAGGTTCTAAAAAAGCTGTCTGTATTTGTAGTCGAGCATAGTACCGACTCTGAATTGCCGCAATAAATGGTGTCATTGAAATCTTTAAATTGAGTTGCTCTACATTTACAATACCAAGCTATCGACACGTTTGAGTCACGCAAATCAACATCACCAAACAGGCTTCCTCCATCTTCCTCGTTTACCCTTGAATTTAAAACAATGAAACATGCTTGTCAAACTTTTAATCATCATGGATTTACAGAGATATATCCCACCCTTATATTTAATTCTAACGGAATTATATAGAGATTTCCAACCCTTATTTGTAATTCTTACGTATTTACAGAGATATATCCCAACCTTATTTTTAGTTCTAATGGAATAACAGATGTTCCCCAACCTTTCTTTGTAATTCTTATGGAATTACAGAGATAGATCCCCAACCTTATTTTTAGTTCTAATGGAATAACAGATGTTCCCCAACCTTTCTTTGTAATTCTTATGGAATTACAGAGATAGATCCCCAACCTTATTTTTAGTTCTACCTTTCTTTGTAATTCTTATGGAATTACAGATATAGATCCCCAACCTTATTTTTAGTTCTAATGGAATAACAACCCTTTCTTTGTAATTCTTATGGAATTACAGAGATAGAATCCCCCAACCTTATTTTTAATTCTAATGGAATAACAGATGTTCCCCAACCTTTCTTTGTAATTCTTATGGAATTACAGACATACCCCAACCCTTATTTGTAATTATCATGAAATAACATTTGTATGTTTAATATAGACATACCAACCTTTCTTTGTAATTATCATTAATAATATAGACATTTGTAATTATCCCCCCAACCCTTATTTGTAATTATCATTAATAATATTTGTAATTAGACATACCCCAACCCTTATTTGTAATCATCAGGAAATAATATAGACATACCCCAACCCTTATTTGTAATTGTCATTAATATAGACATACCCCAACCCTTATTTGTAATTATCATTAATATAGACATACCCCAACCATTATTTGTAATTATCATTAATATAGACATACCCCAACCCTTATTTGTAATTATCAGGGAATAATATAGACATACCCCAACCCTTATTTGTAATTATCATTAATATAGACATACCCCAACCCTTATTTGTAATTATCATTAATATAGACATACCCCAACCCTTATTTGTAATTATCATTAATATAGACATACCCCAACCCTTATTTGTAATTATCATTAATATAGACATACCCCAATCCTTATTTGGAATTATCATTAATATAGACATACCCCAACCCTTATTTGTAATTATCATTAATATAGACATACCCCAACCCTTATTTGTAATTATCATTAATATAGACATACCCCAACCCTTATTTGTAATTATCATTAATATAGACATACCCCAACCCTTATTTGTAATTGTCATTAATATAGACATACCCCAACCCTTATTCATAATTATCATTAATATAGACATACCCCAACCCTTATTTGTAATTATCATTAATATAGACATACCCCAACCCTTATTCATAATTATCATTAATATAGACATACCCCAACCCTTATTTGTAATTATCATTAATATATATTTGTAATTATCATTAATATAGACATACACCAACCCTTATTTGTAATTATCATTAATATAGACATACACCAACCCTTATTTGTAATTATCATTAATATAGACATACCCCAACCCTTATTTGTAATTATCATTAATATAATTTAGCTATAACCCTACCCTTTTTTGTAATGATCAGTGAATGATATAGACATACCCCAACCCTTATTTGTAATTATCATTAATATAGACATACCCCAATCCTTATTTGGAATTATCATTAATATAGACATACCCCAACCCTTATTTGTAATTATCAGGGAATCATATAGACATACCCCAACCCTTATTTGTCATTGTCATTAATATAAACATTCCCCAACCCTTATTTGTAATTATCATTAACATAGACATACCCCAACCCTTATTTGTAATTATCATTAATATAGACATACCCCAACCATTATTTGTAATTATCATTAATAAAGACATACCCCAACTCTTCTTTGTAATTATCATCAATATATAGACAGACCCCAACCCTTATTTGTAATTATCATTAATATAGACATACCCCAACCCTTATTTGTAATTATCATTAATATAGACATACCCCAACCCTTATTTGTAATTATCATTAATATATACATACCCCAACCCTTATTTGTAATTATCAGGAAATAATATAGACATACCCCAACCCTTATTTGTAATTATCATTAATATAGACATACCCCAACCCTTATTCATAATTATCATTAATATAGACATACCCCAACCCTTATTTGTAATTATCATTAATATAGACATACCCCAACCCTTATTTGTAATTATCATTAATATAGACATACCCCAACCCTTATTTGTAATTATCATTAATATAGACATACCCCAACCCTTATTTGTAATTGTCATTAATATAGACATACCCCAACCCTTATTTGTAATATCATTAATATAGTATACCCCAACCCTTATTTGTAATTATCATTAATATAGACATACCCCAACCCTTATTTGTAATTATCATTAATATAACATACCCCAACCCTTATTTGTAATTATAATTTATATAGACATACCCCAACCCTTATTTGTAATTATCATTAATATAGACATACCCCAATCCTTATTTGGAATTATCATTAATATAGACATACCCCAACCCTTATTTGTAATTATCATTAATATAGACATACCCCAACCCTTATTTGTAATTATCATTAATATAGACATACCCCAACCCTTATTTGTAATTGTCATTAATATAGACATACCCCAACCCTTATTTGTAATTATCATTAATATAGACATACCCCAACCCTTATTTGTAATTATCATTAATATAGACATACCCCAACCCTTATTTGTAATTATCAGGAAATAATATAGACATACCCCAACCCTTATTTGTAATTATCATTAATATAGACATACCCCAACCCTTATTTGTAATCATCATTACTATAGACATACCCCAACCCTTATTTGTAATTATCATTAATATAGACATACCCCAACCCTTATTTGTAATTATCATTAATATAGACATACCCCAACCCTTATTTGTAATTATCATTAATATAGACATACACCAACCCTTATTTGTAATTATCATTAATATAGACATACCCCAACCCTTATTTGTAATTATCATTAACATAGACATACCCCAACCCTTATTTGTAATTATCATTAATATAGACATACCCCAACCCTTATTTGTAATTATCATTAATATACACATACCCCAATATAGACCCTTATTTGTAATTATCATTAATATAGACATACCCCAACCCTTATTTGTAATTATCATATAGACATACCCCAACCCTTATTTGTAATTATCATTAATATAGACATACCCCAACCCTTATTTGTAATTATCATTAATATAGACATACCCCAACCCTTATTTGTAATTATCATTAATATAGACATACCCCAACCCTTATTTGTAATTATCACATACCCCAACCCTTATTTGTAATTATCATTATATAGACATACCCCAACCCTTATTTGTAATTATCATTAATATAGACATACCCCAACCCTTATTTGTAATTATCATTAATATAGACATACCCCAACCCTTATTTGTAATTGTCATTAATATAGACATACCCCAACCATTATTTGTAATTATCATTATATATTATTTGTAATTATCATAATATAGACATACCCAACCCTTATTTGTAATTATCATTAATATAGACATACCCCAACCCTTATTTGTAATTATCATTAATATAGACATACCCCAACCCTTATTTGTAATTATCATTAATATACACATACACCAACCCTTATTTGTAATTATCAGGGAGTAATATAGACATACCCCAACCCTTATTTGTAATTATCAGGGAATAATATAGTCATACCCCAACCCTTATTTGTAATTATCATTAAAATAGTTGTAATTATCATTAATATAGACATATTATTTGTAATTATCATTAATATAGACCCCAACCCTTATTTGTAATTATCATTAAATATATAGACATACCCCAACCCTTATTTGTAATTATCATTAATATAGACATACCCCAACCCTTATTTGGAATTATCATTAATATAGACATACCCCAACCCTTATTTGTAATTATCATTAATATAGTAATTATCATACCCCAACCCTTATTTGTAATTATCAGGAAATAATATAGACATACCCCAACCCTTATTTGTATTTATCCTTAATATAGACATACCCCAACCCTTATTTGTAATGATTATTAATATAGACATACCCCAACCCTTATTCATAATTATCATTAATATAGACATACCCCAACCCTTATTTGTAATTATCATTAAAATAGACATACCCCAAACTTTATTTGTAATTATCCTTAATATAGACATACCCCAACCATTATTTGTAATTATCAGGGAATAATAAAGCTATACCCCAACCCTTATTTGTAATCATCAGGGAATGATATAGACATACCCCAACCCTTATTTGTAATTATCATTAATATAGACATACCCCAATCCTTATTTGTAATTATCATTAATATAGACATACCCCAACCCTTATTTGTAATTATCATTAATATAGACATACCCCAACCCTTATTTGTAATCATCAGGAAATAATATAGACATACCCCAACCCTTATTTGTAATTATCAGGGAATAATATAGACATACCCCAACCCTTATTTGTAATATAGACATACCCCAACCCTTATTTGTAATTATCATTAATATAGACATACCCCAACCCTTATTTGTAATTGTCATTAATATAGACATACCCCAACCATTATTTGTAATTATCATTAATATAGACATATCCCAACCAATATTTGTAATTATCATTAATATAGACATACACCAACCCTTATTTGTAATTATCATTAATATAGACATACCCCAATCCTTATTTGGAATTATCATTAATATAGACATACCCCAACCCTTATTTGTAATTATCATTAATAAAGACATACACCAACTCTTCTTTGTAATTATCATCAATATATAGACAGACCCCAACCCTTATTTGTAATTATCATTAATATAGACATACCCCAACCCTTATTTGTAATTATCATTAATATAGACATACCCCAACCCTTATTTGTAATTGTCATTAATATAGACATACCCCAACTCTTATTCATAATTATCATTAATATAGACATACCCCAACCCTTATTTGTAATTATCATTAATATAGACATACCCCAAACATTATTTGTAATTATCATTAATATAGACATACCCCAACCATTATTTGTATTTATCAGGGAATAATAAAGATATACCCCAACCATTATTTGTAATTATCATTAATATAGACATACCCCAACCCTTATTTGTAATTATCATTAATATAGACATACCCCAACCCTTATTTGTAATTATCATTAATATAGACATACCCCAACCCTTATTTGTAATTATCATTAATATAGACATACCCCAACCCTTATTTGTAATTATCATTAATATAGACATACCCCAACCCTTATTTGTAATTGTCATTAATATAGACATACCCCAACCCTTATTTGTAATTATCATTAATATAGACATACCCCAACCCTTATTTGTAATTATCATTAATATAGACATACCCCAACCCTTATTTGTAATTATCATTAATATAGACATACCCCAACCCTTATTTGTAATTGTCATTAATATAGACATACCCCAACCCTTATTTGTAATTATCATTAATATAGACATACCCCAACCCTTATTTGTAATTATCATTAATATAGACATACACCAACCCTTATTTGTAATTATCATTAATATAGACATATCCCAACCCTTATTTGTAATTATCAGGAAATAATATAGACATACCGCAACCCTTCTTTGTAATTGTCATTAATATAGACATACCCCAACCCTTATTTGTAATTATCATTAATATAGACATACCCCAACCCTTATTTGTAATTATCATTAATATACACATACACCAACCCTTATTTGTAATTATCATTAATATAGACATACCCAACCCTTATTTGTAATTATCATATAGACATACCCCAACCCTTATTTGTAATTATCAGGGAATAATATAGTCATACCCCAACCCTTATTTGTAATTATCATTAAAATAGACATACCCCAAACTTTATTTGTAATTATCCTTAATATAGACATACCCCAACCCTTATTTGTAATTATCATTAATATAGACATACCCCAACCCTTATTTGTAATTATCATTAATATAGACATACCCCAACCATTATTTGTAATTATCATTAATATAGACATACCCCAACCCTTATTTGTAATTATCATTAATATAGACATACCCCAACCCTTATTTGTAATTATCATTAATATAGACATACCCCAATCCTTATTTGGAATTATCATTAATATAGACATACCCCAACCATTATTTGTAATTATCATTATTTGTAATTATCATTAATATAGACATACCCCAACCCTTCTTTGTAATTATCAGGGAATTATATAGACATACCCCAACCCTTATTTGTAATTATCATTAATATAGACATACCCCAATCCTTATTTGGAATTATCATTAATATAGACATACCCCAACCCTTATTTGTAATTATCATTAATATAGACATACCCCAACCCTTATTTGTAATTATCATTAACAAAGACATACACCAACCCTTATTTGTAATTATCCTTAATATAGACATACCACAACCCTTATTTGTAATTATCATTAATATAGACATACCCCAACCCTTATTTGTAATCATCAGGAAATAATATAGACATACCCCAACCCTTATTTGTAATTGTCATTAATATAGACATACCCCAACCCTTATTTCTAAATATCATTAATATAGACATGCCCCACTCCCGCCCCCGTTCCCATCCCCATATTTTGTTATATTCAGAGAATTACATAGATATAATGTGGCTCAGAACTTGACATTGTTACACTGTGGTGTAAAAATGTTTTAGACATCTTTTACACACGCCATTTTTCTCTATGTTCGTTGGTATGCCTTGTGGTTTCGTTGTGGTTAATCTTATTCTCTGTCTACTGTTTCAGCGATCTGTTTATTAATCTTTTTCACTTTCTTCAGCGCAAGTGAACATTATTCGTTATTCTAACAACCATGACCCTTCATTTTTGAAAAAAAAAATGACCAGTTTACCTGTTTTTTCGCTTACAAACAATTTCCTTTGTTTTCTAACGTCTTACTCACTTCCAGTCGAGAGCGAAGGCAGTGATATTATCTGTTGTTGTCCCGTTTCTGGTCCTGAAGTCATTTGCTCTATTGCCGTCAAAATACCCACACAGTCCCGATGACGTTTTCATATCAAATTTGTGTTCCTGTAGGAAGTATGACCTAAAATGAAACCAAATTCACTACTAGTTAGTAACAATTTATCTTTAATAGTTTGGTGCGAGTGAGTGTTATATATGTGTATGTACTCAGTGTAACTGGCCCTGATCAGGTTTTATCTTTGTGTGTAGATACCCGGAAAGAGTATGTATCCGTGTTTTATATCAACTGGATTGAACAAAAATAAATACTAAAGAATACTAAATAAATGAAAACTATAAAAATAAAAAATTTCATTCGAACTCATTCTATTCCACTTTTAACAGCAAATTAAAGTTTAATGGACATTGACAAAATGTTTAAATGTACAACTAAAGCGTGCAGAAAGGGAGAAAAAAACAAGAAAAATAGCAACATTGTAACATAATCCAAACAACAAAATTAGGGAGATTTGATCAAAAGAAAGACTACTGGAAAAGTACAAGAAAAATAAGACCAGGTGTTCCGGAAGAAAAAGAGAGAAAGCTGTGTTTAGATGTAATAATACAACATTAGATAAACACTGTTTAAATTTCGATATTTTACTATACAAGATGTGTATGTATATATAAGTCTAATTAGAAATATCTCAATCTAATGCAGCCAATAAGTCTATTAATTTGTTATAAATGTTGTCAAATTAATGACACATTTTCAGTTCTTAGGAATATTCTAAATGTGTTTTCCAAAGGAACAAATCAAACGGAAACTGTGGCAGTTACATATTTGTTCGGGACTAAACCAAAATAAAACATGATAAAGGGTAACGTAGAAAAATATTTACCGTGTAACTGTTTCCTCTTTTATTTATGGTCATATGGGTATCATCACAAAAGGATCTCTGTACGTATCTGTTTGTAAGAGTTCCACTGCTTTTCCAGCCAATTTCGGCCTTGCAATAGTTGACGACGAAAAGGGCTGTATCCACTCTAACTGCTACTCCACAGTTACATGTAGCTCCATGTATACCAAAATTACATGCCTGGTAGAAAGCGTGAACCTGTGCGGAAATTATTAACATAATGTATCAGATACACCAGCCCCTAAGGAAATACCCGTTCACCCAATATGCGTCCGACTTGATTTCTAGAAAAACGAATACAAAATATAAAATGAATAAAAAAAAGTAAACAGTTTCCGATGTTCACATTTAAGAAAGAATGCTCGAAATCGAAACAAGTAAAATTTGATAATGCTTCAGTAATAATTAGGTTCGAAGAGCATTTCGTTTGTTTGTTTGTTTGTTTGTTTGTTTTTAAATAAAGAAAGCGATGATCATCTAAAAATCGTTTCAAACCCTCTATCAGCGATGGTATGAATATATACGCTGGTCTTGAAGATATGCTTTTGCAATCAGATTATGCACAGTCAGCAAAATTCACATATTTTTGATCGAACAAATAATTTATTGATACGTTTTTTCATATCTTTTTAGTAAAGTTTTTTCCCCATTTGAATGGTTCTCTGGCGCGCTTGAAGAAATTGACGAGTTCGTTAATCGCACATGAAATGGAAACATACATATGACACTCTTCATTCTGTATTTTTGTAATCTTGTTTTCGGAAATTGTTCTAATATTTGGCACTATATCTACCTTTTCCATGGTTTAAGTTGTACGAATGTGATGTCATTTCATTACCAAATGATGACGTCACAATATATTATCTAACGTTGGTCTATTCACTGTATAACAAGGCAATAACGTATTGACGTAAAACGTGCTAAGTTAAACTCCTTATAAGGTAACATATGAATTATATGCATATGTGATCATATGTGCATAGCATATTTACAAAAAGACACGAATTGCATATTTCGACATGTGACCAATCAGTTTGTGTTTTCTCTTGAAATTTTCACTTACCCAATAATGTCTTTGTGAGTTGTGATATAACACGAATTCACCGAGCCTCTGGTTCTCGTAATATCTGAAAAACATTATTCTCGAGCTGCTTCATTTGAAAAATAGACAAATAAATTGATACGGTTGTCGAACATAAAATGCCTTTTATCATTTGTTTTAATTATTTTTTTGTTGTTAGATTTTGACTTCAAGGTTTTTCCCAGAAGAACAATCAGTTCATATGTAACAACTAAAGAATGGAATCAGGCATGTACGTATATCCTCAGCTGGTGTTTATATTGTTATTGGTTGCCTAACAGATATTACATACATATGTAAATACGTACCGTCCATCAAAAGTTTTCATGTGAGGGTCATTTCTACTGTAACATTCGCTACTCAAAACAACGGAATCAGCATCCTCAACAACAACCTATAACACGTGTTATAAAAACTATACGTACATTTATGAAGTAAGCCTATTTAGTAAATATGTCCAAACATTGCTATCTAATATTAAAAATCGCTCCAACAACACAACGATGGACAAATTTAGCATATGAAACATCAAACTAGATCTAGCAGCAAAAAGTGTTTTTCTTTCCTTTTTTTTTTTTTTTTTTTGGAAAAAATGGGCAAAGAGATACAGAACATTTCATTTTCTGAGAAGGTACCGTGTTCGAACTTACTGACGTATCTGGAGTCGAAGCTTTATTCCAAGCCGTGTGAAAGATCACATCGTCTTCGAACGCCAAACGTATTAATGAAGAACGGCTTCTGATATTCACTCGGCTGTCTGGAACGCCATAAACCCTGAGAGTCTTGGTCATATTCCAATCGTTGTGAGACACTCTCACACCACAATTAGTATCACCGAAAGCTATTGGTTCGTTGGTAACACCTCCCGTGGAGCATATGACATCCGTTTGACTTGGCGTCATTACGAGAATTTGTGCTTTACAATGTACTTCTGCAAAATTAGTCCGACTGCAATGTACACAAAATTAGAAATTATAAATCAGTTTAACCCCATAAGATAATACCTCAGGTTCTTTATATCATTGTGAAATTTTTGAAGCAACTCATAACTTTTTTCTCTTGGAGCCTATACACTATACAATAGTACAAAATAAATAAAACGATATATCCAATCTCACTAAAAACATAAACAATCTCACCAAGAACATAAACAATGTCACCAAGAACATTAACAATCTCACCAAGAACATAAACAATGTCACCAAGAACATAAACAATGTCACCAAGAACATAAACAATCTCATCAAAAATTAAACAATCTCACCAAGAACATAAACAATCTCACCAAGAAATAAACAATCTCACCAAGAAATAAACAATCTCACCAAGAACATAAACAATCTCACCAAGAACATAAACAATATCAACAAGAACATATCACCAAGAACATAAACAATGTCACCAAGAACATAAACAATCTCACCAAGAACATAAACAATCTCACCAAGAACATAAACAATGTCACCAAGAACATAAACAATCTCACCAAGAACATAAACAATCTCACCAAGAACATAAACAATCTCACCAAGAACATAAACAATATCAACAAGAACATAAATAATCTCACCAAGAACATAAACAATCTCACCATGAACATAAACAATCTCACCAAGAACATAAACAATCTCACCAAGAACATAAAATAATCTCACCAAGAACATAAATAATAACACAAAGAACATAAACAATCTCACCAAGAACATAAACAATATCAACAAGAACATAAACAATTTCATCAAAAGTATAAACAATCTCACCATGAACATAAACAATATCAACAAGAACATAAACAATCTCACCAAGAACATAAATAATCTCACCAAGAACATAAATAATCTCACCAAGAACATAAACAATCTCACCAAAAAATAAACAATCTCACCAAGAACATAAACAATTTCACCAAAAAATATAAACAATCTCACCAAGAACATAAACAATCTCACCAGAAATATTTAAAAAAGTCAAGTTAATCGGCAGTTTCCATTTAGTAACTTCATGTTTCCTTATGACCATTGAAAATAGCATGTTCTCTCCCTTGGATTGTTTTGTGTTTATTTTTCCATTGCGAGAAATAGAGTGCATTCAGTTAGTAAAGAACTGTGATACGTCGATTAGTATTAAGATATCTTCTATACAAAAACTTGCCAATATATACAATGAATTAGTGAAATATGCTTTTCTTTTTTTGCGAAGTGATTTCGTCCTTGATCTCTCTGAATATAATACTGGCGTCTTGTCCAAGACCATAATATGGATTCCGAATACAAATTTTCAGAAATATCTTTTGATCCTCTTCATCAACAGTAATTTTTGTTTATGATAAATGGTTGATTTAAATGGAATATCCAGCTTGATATTTTTAGATGTTTCTGACAAGCACTTACAATCATTTTTGACACAAACGACACTAAAATTAAGAAATAAAGAATCTGTTAGAACGTCAAACTTCTTATACATTCAAACTAATCAGACCACGGAGTCATTTCTGTTGTGCTGATCTTTAAGCTGAACATATTTCGTAGCATGTCGTAACACAAAGACAAGAGGCCCATAGGAACTGTATCGTTTGCCAGGCTTTGCTAGGCTGAAACTGCTTCACCAAAACTAAAAGAAAAAATTCTAAATATCTCAGCACCCTCTGTCCCTAGGGGGTAAACAAAATAATTCTTTCTGCAGACCAAATTGAGAAAGAAAGCTGCCATTCCTAAATAAGAAGAAGGATTTTAAAGGATTTTCTTTTGTTGCCATAAAATGCGTCCTGCCCCACCTGCAACAGGGTGTCGCAAGACACCGTTCATACAAAAATTAATCCCTTTCACCTAACAATGCTTTAGCCCAAGTTTGGTGTAAATCCAATCCTTACTGTATTGTAGAATTTTAAAGAATGTAGTTTATTTCCCGCCCCCGATCCCCGGAGGACAAAGATTGCATACAAAATTAATTATTCTTCACCTACGAATTCTTCCGACCATCTTTCGGTAAAGACCAATGAATCCTACAGGAGAAGAATTTGTTCTATTTCCCATATTGAACCTTGCCCCTCCCGCGTAAGGGGACTAAGACTCACAGGTAATACAAGACGGATTCCCCTTCACTCAAGAACTTTAGGCAACATTAAATCATTCCTTCAGGAGAATTAGGATTTTAAGGAATTTGCTCTATTTCCCTCTTTGGTCCCTGAATGTCACTCATGCCCCAAGGGGCCGAAACCCATTGATTCCACTTCACCAAAAAATTATTCAGATCAAATTTGGGTGGACCAAATCATTCATACAGCAGGAGTATGATTTTTAATCATTTGTTTTATTTCCCACGTGGGGCCTACCCCCTATACCAGGAGGTCGAGGTCAACCCTTCATACAAATAAGAATGCTCCAGAGAAAATTTGGGCAAAATAAAATGATTCCTGTAGGAAGCAGGATTTTGATTAATTGGCTCTATTTCCCTTATAGGGCTTCATCCCTCTAGCCCCAAAGAATGTTTCAGATCAAATTTGAGCACCATCGAATTATTCCTTCAGGAGAAGTAGGATTTTAAGTGATTTGTTCAACTTCCCCTATTGTATCCTACCCCTCTTGACCCCAGAGAGTCAAGACCCACCGTTTATACACAATTGATTCTCCTTCAGGCAAAATTCGAGCAAAATCGATTTATTCCTACAGAAGGAAAAAGGTTTTAAAGAATTCGTTCTATTTTTGCCTATTGGGCATCGCCACTCAGACCCCAGAGGACAGGGAACCATAGTTGATACAAAATTTGCTTCTCTCCCAAATGATTCTTCTGACCAAATTTGGTCAAAATCAGCTAAGTGGTTCACGACTAGTAGCGATTTGAAGATAAAGTTGTCGGTAGCACGGATGAACGATCGAACGGAGAACGAGGCTCGCGGTGTGGCATAAGTTAACTGGCCCTTTGGACCATGTGAACTAATAATGGATTTAATTAACCTTTTCACTTACTTTGTTACAGATAGAGGATACAGACATCCGAGCGGTACTGTAAGTGTGATCAGGACATCGATAAAGGACCCTTCCCTTACGACGTAGTTGTTCTGGTCAGTCTGTGAAAATAGGCATACAACGAGGAAAATTCATATTCACGTTGAAAGAATAATCTGCACAAAATCAAAAGGCTATTTTGAAATCGACAATTTACTCTGCACATCTTCACAAATTTATTTTACTACGAAAAGCTAAACGTTAATTTCAATATGTACGTACATTAGCAAAACAAAACACAGAATACTAACGCATATGTTTAATCGTCAACTAATAGTACTGTGTATGTTTTTTTATCATATTGTGAAAAAAAAACAAGAACGAAAATACCAACATGTTAACAGAATTTTAACGCAAACACAAATTCGATGAAGTTACGGCCAACAGTAAAAAAGAAATGTGACTCCTAAAAATGTACAAGGAAAATAAAGCCATGTGTTTCAGAAGAGTAAGCATATTTTGCTTCATCAACGATACCGGCCATGTAGATCTTTGTAGATCCAATAAAGCAATGTCCCATAATATGAGAACAATGGAAAAATCAACTGAATCATCAGGCATAATAACACGTCAAACTATTCCTCGATGAAATCTGTATGACGACCGTAAAACTTAATAAATAATTTTCATCAACCTGCATCTCTCGAAACCATGTGTTGTGATTTGGTCTGTCAGTTGTCGACATCTAACACAAAACTGCGGTTTTGAGAACAAGCCCTAGAATATCGAATTAGCTGTGATATGTAAACACTAGAACGGGAATGCAGAAATGTTTCTATCCAAGAAATATTAACAAAAGGGAAATTGAAATCATTAAGCTTATTACACAGTTTGGTAGAAACCTTTCGGTGTTGGTTTTTGTTGTTGGAAAAGGAGTCACTCGTATCACTGATTTCCATGTTGGTGTATATATATACTATCGACATAGTCCGTAAATTTCTTGTTATTTTCACAAAAAAATTATTTTAACTGAAAGTGAATGACTTTTCATATCTCTAATGTTCTTAGAATCCCTGAAAATGTCCCTCAAAAACTTGTACCATGAAATTATATCATAAACTTATAACTACTCAAAATGATAAAAGACAATAATGCACAATTTGATGTTAATTAATTGTAATATTGACTAATAACATTAGATTTGCTGAGGAAGAGACAGCCAAATTAGATCTGTCTAGAATACATCCCTTTGATAATATATGTTCCTTCTTTTTACCCTAGTTTTTGTATGTCTTGTATTACTGTTCACATCACTCACCTAGCCTTTTATGATACCAGTATTGAGAAAGTAGTTCTGGGCAGTGTGGAATATATCTTTTATTTTCTGGGAGCATGAGATTTGAGCGTTAGGTACGATAGTGTTCTTATCCTTTTAACCATTTATGATGTTACCAAGATTAATATAGATCGCTCGCCACTGATCACGTGTATGTTTGAATCTTTATAATTTTAAGTATATACCTGAAAGCCAGCTTTGAAGACCTCACTGCTAATGAATTGGCCCAACACGCTCCCGTTAATAGCACGAAGACGAACTTCGCATCTAACCTACAATAAATTCCATACGACTATTTTGACAAGCGTACTTTAGATATTGCATTGACACATCAATTTTGAACGAAATATTGAATGAAGTTAACTAGATTATATTTACATGTGAAAGACTAAAACTAAAATTGGAATTAGTACTATAAAAGGCACATGCAATGCTCTTATTTTGAAAGTAGGATTGATTGAAACTGTAACATGTTCCGACACACTTATCAATAACTTTTAACTGGCACTACCATATCATTCTCACACTAGATTCTTTAAAACGAACAGGAAATACAGGCTCGTAAATAAAACAATCAACTTATATGATTTTTATCTCATTCATTTCATTTCTTTTATCACACAATACCTGAAAAAGTATCACAAGAGAAAGGAATACACTAGGAATTACTCACGAGAAAACTTAGCTTGTACATATCTTTCCAGCATGCCTCCAGCAAATGCGTTGTTGAAAGGTTAGCGTATTCGACCAGCGTATAGGAACAGTTTGTCAGTTTGTTATCATTTATATACCAATTGATGTCGTATAAAAAGACGTCTGGGTCGGCATTGTCATCCATAAAGGATATACTGTGTTCAAATTTGATTTCCACGTGTGTAAAAGTGGCAGGTGAATTCGGTATAGTTCCATTCCTCTCCTCAACACCAGGTGCGATGCGAATTCTGAAGGGTATGTCTTGGATACCTAAAACAGTTGTATAAGTAAAATTACTCTGCTTGAATCTTGATCAACTGGAATGGAATATTTGCAGCATTTTCCGGTTTGTCAGTTTATATTTGTAGTACAAAACGGATTGACCTGACGTTACTTCCTAATGATGTTTCGAAAATTGCACGAAAAACACCATCTTTTCATTCAAGGTCCGATAGAGTAGTGCCAAACAATGCATCTTTCACTTGTTTTCCCTTCTGTGTCTAATCAGTGTTGTTAAAGGCCTAAATTTTGAAGCCTCGACTGATTAAAAATCCTATGTAATCGAAATGAATATCCAAATCTTGGCGAGAAAGCAGAAAAGTTCGTCCCATAACTCAATAAATTTTGTATTTTGGTATATATATGTGATAAAATAAGAAGAACGTCAAGTACATGTGTATAATATGACAGTTTATTATACCATTTTAATCCAACATGAAGTCAATACATGTGAAATGGTTGAACATTAATGGGTTAACTATTAGTATGATGCAAAAAGCGTTAGCAGGAATTAATCAGAAGCCAGTCCAGTACAGTATTATATATTCTTTAAAGGATATCAAAACACGTTTTAAGCCGTTGTCCAATGCTCTTTGTGTCCTCTTGAAATACAACACAGCTATCGATGTCCTGAAATATGAACAGATCAAAAAATTAATATGAACACTAAATACTTGATAAATGTATGCATGACTTTTACTAATGTACAGAGAAAGGCGAGAGTTGAATGACATTTCCTAGGACAAAATAAACTCTAATTTGTAAAGATAAATAAATTATAAATAAAAAAAATGATCTCTCATTCCTGGTGGATTATCTCTCTGAAACCAAAACACAAATACCCAAATAAATAGTGTTAGCTCTAATTGAAAATAGAATACTTTCATGTACTCTCAAAAATATCTGAAATATAAAAGCATTATATACATTTAGATCAACTTCTCTCAAGAGAATATTCAAAATCAGCATTGCACCCATTCCTTTCTCTATACAAAAAAAAAACACTTTCATTTATAAATACGATTAAATACGTTTGTTTAAGAGTAAAACGCAATAATAAAAATTACATTTATAGATACTGATTCCTTACCAAAATTTCACGAAAAGTCCATATTGACGTCCAAATCAGCTTCATTAAAGGGGGAAATTCCTTTGAATACTGGTTTGTCACGTCAGTTTCTCGAAAGGGAATGATATTCATCGATACTGTTTCCTGACCTAAGTTATAAGATATAACAAAGCTGGCGATGCTCTGAAATAAGAAGACATCAGAAAACGAATCAGAAAATTAAATAATTGATAAACGTAAACATGTCTATTTAACTCATTGACTTATTGAATTACAATGCCTGACACAACACATATTTTCTAATTTGTAAATTTAAGTAAATGTTAAATAAACAAATTTGTTCAAAAGTAAAACAGACGAATAGCACGCAAAAAATTAAACTTTATAGATATTGATTCCTTATTTCATACAGTCCATACATTACTATGCTAGTTCATATCGACGCCCACGTCGGCTTCATTAAAGAGAACACTCCTCAATGATAGTGGTTCCTTACCTGTGTTTCATGACCAGTTCACACAGACGCCCACGTCAGCTTCATTAAAGAGAACACTCCTCAAGGATAGTGGTTCTTACCTGTGTTTCATGACCAGTTCACACAGACGCCCACGTCAGCTTCAGTAAAGAGAACACTCCTCAAGGATAGTGGTTCCTTACCTGTGTTTCATGACCAGTTCACACAGACGCCCATGTCAGCTTCAAATTTTTTTCAAATTTCCACCGTAATCATATTTTTCCAGCTCATTCAAATAAGTCTCTGATTTATTTGTATATTGTCTAGAAAATCTACAATACGAGTCATCCTCATATTTGATATCTTAGTTGGTAATGTGGTTGTCCATTTCGCAAATTCTCTGGTAGACGGTACCAAACATAAAATGTCGGGTGCATTTAGCAAAACAGGCGAAAAAAAATATTCCCTCAATTGTCTGCCCAAAAAATTGGAGTAGAACTCTAGCAAAGACACGGAATAATACAAATTTTACATTATCGGGAATATTTTCCCAACCGAAACCATATCTGTGTTTGAATATTATTTCTATTTATGTTACGCATATGCTTTTGGATAATAGTAATATCCTCAACATTATGGGAAAATTGTACATTGAGCAGGATGCATTTATTTGTATGGTGTGACTATATTCCTGAAACAAAGTGAAAAATATTCAACTAGCTTCATTTTGGGGTTCTTTTACCCTACAATAACCACCATAAAAATTCTCTTACTTATACAGCTAGGTGTAAATCCAGTTTCCGATAACTGTCCGTCTGGCCATATTGTTTCTGTTCCCTAAAGGCGAGAAGAAAAAAAAAAGAGGAAAAAAAAACAATATTTTAACCAGTCAAAATACTTTAAAAAAATGAAAGATGATAGAATGGGTTGATACAACAGTCCTTCGTGAAACCATATTGTTTCTTTCATAGCATCCCGTCAAGTCAACGGTAATCTGTTCCATTACAGTTCGAATATTTCTTACCCAAGCACTATCCACAGTTTCCAGTAGACCGCTTCAGATTGTACACGTAATATTTTGGAGACAGGCGATGACAGAAACATCTTTTCATAGTCAGTCTCTCCATCCATAGGTAGCACTACAAAGGAACAATCTAATTCTTTAAAGAAACTTAATTCAGGTCGCAATTTTTATCTTAACATGCATCGCCGTTAATATATCTTAGAAATGAAATCATTTTGAAATATGGTTAATCCACCAAATCAATAACTAGAGTTTACAAAACCAGCAGGTATATACGAGAAAGTCGTTCTTTAGCATAATTAATCTGATCGTTGTGAAAAAACATATTCAAGAACTCGAAAATATTTACATCATTACATAACTCTATATAAAGGACATGTGCCTTTTTCAGTAGATACGATTATATTTTCCTGTAATCTGATTAACTTCGCTGAAATTTTGAACATTTACAAAATGAAGGAAAGTAACAAGATCGATAATTATTCTAAGTTTTAAAAAAAAATGAAGATTTATCAGAAATTATGACAGAAGAAAAAATACTAGGTGTATAAACATTTCAGATTAAAGAATTGCTAAAAAGCAATAAATATAATAAAAAGATAAAAAATCGTCAAGTTCTTTAAATTCTAGAATGAAATATCTTTAAGGTTCTGTAAAATTTAGTATTCAAAATCGTTAAAGTTCACTCAACCTCAAGATACAAAACATTTAAGCTCTCTAAACCCTCGGCTTTAACGCACTAATTGTCTTCTGAACCTATGAGTTGAAAATTGCTTAACAGATGTTTAAGGTACTCTGAATCTAGAATAAAACAATCGTTAGAATGATCTTTACTCTAGAAAATTATACAAAGGACACTTAAGTGAACAACACCGTCTAATCCAATTTAGAGTCAGATACAGTAGAGGCAACCCTCGGAGGACTAATATTCTAGATTATAAACTCGTTCCCGGACTATCATACCCTCATAAATAATGACACTGTTCTATTTGTATTTGCCAATGGACAGCGACAACAATTCCTTATAGATAATGTAATCTCATTGGTTGGATATCATACAATCAGAACCATTCGTGTCGTATTCCTGACAAGGTATTGAATAGTATATGTCGTACAAGGTGTATAAACATTCTACACTTCCTTGTTCTACGTTTACAGAGTAACGATAATAGTCATTTAGTTATTTCTTTCGGCCTTTGGAATGTAAAAAATGATAGAATCTAGTCAACTGATACTATGGTCTATCTTTCCTTGTCTACTGACACTGTGGTATATCTGTCCTTGTCTACTAACACTGTGGTATATCTGTCCTTGTCTACTGACTCTGTGGTATATCTGTCCTTGTCTACTAACACTGTGGTATATCTGTCCTTGTCTACTGACACTGTGGTATATCTGTCCTTGTCTACTGACACTGTGGTATATATGTCCTTGTCTACTGACACTGTGGTATATATGTCCTTGTCTACTGACACTGTGGTATATCTGTCCTTGTCTACTGACTCCATGGTATATCTGTCCTTGTCGACTGACACCTGTATATCTGTCCTTGTCTACTGACACTGTGGTATATCTGTCCTTGTCTACTGACTCTGTGATATATCTGTCCTTGTCTACTGACACTGTGATATATCTGTCCTTGTCTACTGACTCCATGGTATATCTGTCCTTGTCTACTGACACTGTGATATATTTGTCCTTGTCTACTGACACTGTGGTATATCTGTCCTTGTCTACTGACACTGTGATATATCTGTCCTTGTCTACTGACACTGGTATATCTGTCCTTGTCTACTGACACTGCGGTATATATGTCCTTGTCTACTGACACTGTGGTATATATGTCCTTGTCTACTGACACTGTGGTATATCTGTCCTTGTCTACTGACACTGTGGTATATCTGTCCTTGTCTACTAACACTGTGGTATATCTGTTCTTGTCTACTGACAATGTGGTATATCTGACCTTGTCTACTGACACTGTGGTATATCTGTCCTTGTCTACTGACAATGTGGTATATCTGTCCTTGTCTATGACACTGTGGTATATCTGTCCTTGTCTACTGACACTGTGGTATATCTGTCCTTGTCTACTGACACTGTGGTATATCTGTCCTTGTCTACTGACACTGTGGTATATCTGTCCTTGTCTACTGACACTGTGGTATATTTGTCCTTGTCTACTGACTCTGTGGTATATCTGTCCTTGTCTACTGACTCTGTGGTATATCTGACCTTGTCTACTGACACTGTGGTATATCTGTCCTTGTCTACTGACACTGTGGTATATCTGTCCTTGTCTACTGACACTGTGGTATATCTGTCCTTGTCTACTGACACTGTGGTATATCTGACCTTGTCTACTGACACTGTGGTATATCTGACCTTGTCTATGACACTGTGGTATATCTGTCCTTGTCTACTGACACTGTGGTATATCTGTCCTTGGTATATCTGACCTTGTCTACTGACACTGTGGTATATCTGACCTTGTCTATGACACTGTGGTATATCTGTCCTTGTCTACTGACAATGTGGTATATCTGTCCTTGTCTATGACACTGTGGTATATCTGTCCTTGTCTACTGACACTGTGGTATATCTGTCCTTGTCTACTGACACTGTGGTATATCTGACCTTGTCTATATCTGACCTTGTCTACTGACACTGTGCTATATATGTCCTTGTCTACTGACACTGTGGTATATCTGTCCTTGTCTATGACACTGTGGTATATCTGTCCTTGTCTATGACACTGTGGTATATCTTTCTTTGTCTACAGACACTGTGGTATATCTGACCTTGTCTACTGACACTGTGGTATATATGTCCTTGTCTACTGACACTGTGGTATATCTGTCCTTGTCTACTGACACTGTGGTATATCTGTCCTTGTCTACTGACACTGTGGTATATCTGTCCTTGTCTACTGACACTGTGGTATATCTTCCCTTGTCTACTAACACTGTGGTATATCTACTAACACTGTGGTATATCTGTCCTTGTCTACTGACACTGTGGTATATCTGTCCTTGTCTACTGACACTGTGTTATATTTGTCCTTGTCTACTGACACTGTGGTATATCTGTCCTTGTCTACTGACTCTGTGGTATATCTGTCCTTGTCTACTGACACTGTGGTATATCTGTCCTTGTCTACTGACACTGTGGTATATCTGTCCTTGTCTACTGACAATGTGGTATATCTGTCCTTGTCTATGACACTGTGGTATATCTGTCCTTGTCTACTGACACTGTGGTATATCTGTCCTTGTCTACTGACACTGTGGTATATCTGTCCTTGTCTACTGACACTGTGGTATATATGTCCTTGTCTACTGACACTGTGGTATATCTGTCCTTGTCTACTGACACTGTAGTATATCTGTCCTTGTCTACTGACAATGTGGTATATCTGACCTTGTCTACTAACACTGTGGTATATCTGTCCTTGTCTACTGACAATGTGGTATATCTGTCCTTGTCTACTGACACTGTGGTATATCTGTCCTTGTCTACTAACACTGTGGTATATCTGTCCTTGTCTACTGACACTGTGGTATATCTGTCCTTGTCTACTGACACTGTGGTATATCTTAGCTTGTCTACTAACACAGTGGTATATCTGTCCTTGTCTACTGACATTGTGGTATATCATAGTATGTCTACTAACACAGTGGTATATCTGTCCTTGTCTATGACACTGTGGTATATCTGTCCTTGTCTACTGACACTGTGGTATATCTGTCCTTGTCTACTGACTCTGTGATATATCTGTCCTTGTCTACTGACACTGTGGTATATCTGTCCTTGTCTACTGACTCTGTGGTATATCTGACCTTGTCTACTGACACTGTGGTATATCTGTCCTTGTCTACTGACTCCATGGTATATCTGTCCTTGTCTACTGACACTGTGATATATCTGTCCTTGTCTACTAACTCCATGGTATATCTGTCCTTGTCTACTGACACTGTGGTATATTTGTCCTTGTCTACTGACTCTGTGGTATATCTGTCCTTGTCTACTGACTCTGTGGTATATCTGACCTTGTATATATGACTGACTGTGGTATATCTGTCCTTGTCTACTGACACTGTGGTATATCTGTCCTTGTCTACTGACACTGTGGTATATCTGTCCTTGTCTACTGACACTGTGGTATATATGTCCTTGTCTACTGACACTGTGGTATATCTGTCCTTGTCTACTGACTCCATGGTATATCTGTCCTTGTCTACTGACACTGTGATATATTTGTCCTTGTCTACTGACACTGTGGTATATCTGTCCTTGTCTACTGACACTGGTATATCTGTCCTTGTCTACTGACACTGTGGTATATCTGTCCTTGTCTACTGACACTGTGGTATATCTGTCCTTGTCTACTGATGACACTGTGGTATATCTGTCCTTGTCTACTGACACTGTGATATATCTGTCCTTGTCTACTGACACTGGTATATCTGTTCTTGTCTACTGACTCCGTGGTATATCTGTCCTTGTCTACTGACACTGTGGTATATCTGTCCTTGTCTACTGACACTGGTATATCTGTCCTTGTCTACTGACACTGTGGTATATCTGTCCTTGTCTACTGACACTGGTATATCTGTCCTTGTCTACTGACACTGCAGTATATATGTCCTTGTCTACTGACACTGTGGTATATATGTCCTTGTCTACTGACACTGTGATATATCTGACCTTGTCTACTAACACTGTGGTATATCTGTCCTTGTCTACTGACACTGTGGTATATCTGTCCTTGTCTACTGACACTGTGGTATATCTGTCCTTGTCTACTGACTCC